TTGAGGGCATCATTATTCCCTTGCATCTTTGCCTCAGTGTCCAGAGCTAAAGAAAGAAAATCAAGAGTTTTAAGTGTCTTGTCATTTACGTCTTTCTTCAGAGCTTCACTCAGATGTCACCTGCTCTGGCTGTGTTCTCCCCACCAACTTGGGTCTTTCAGTCTTCCGTAGAATGATTCCCTTCTAGTCCTTTCCGTGTCGATCTTCTTGGTCTGTTACATTATTTGTTAAATCGCCTCTCTCCCCAGCTAGAGCAGGAGTTCCTTGAGGAAGAGGCAGATAAATTCACATGGTTATTTGAATTCCCACTGCCCACTGTGATGCCTGGTGCATACTTGGAATTCCTTCCATGTTTTATTATATTTAAATAGAATGGAAACCAGAGAAGTTTATTTTACATTAAAATTGGGATGGACCTCTAATAATAGGGAAAACTTTAAATGTTGGCTTTACAAAGGACTCTGAAGTGAGATTTGTAGTTAAGTATTTCTTATGTTTTGGTAGTATTTTTAAACCTCTTTTATTCTATCTGCTTGTCTTTTACAGATACGCTATGACTGTTTGGTACTTTGATGCTGATGAAAGGGCAGAAGCCAAAAAGAAATTCAGAAATTTAACTAGTATGTGTTTGATAATTTTCTGTCATTTTTGATCAAGTCAATCCATGACTTTTATTCATAATTTTTATATGTCTTCTAACCTATTCTGTCCATTCTCAGCTGTGGCTTAGCATCATATATAATGTCATCTTGATGGGCTTAATCCTGAAACCCTGGCCTTAGCTCTGCTGGAAAAGTCAGAAAAAATGCAAAGGACTTCCTTTGTGAATGCCCACTGATTGCATGACAGTTCATAATAGATGGGAAATTGGTAACTTTTAATCATTAATGTTCACCCATCAAACATCATAATATTAAATTTTGCCCATGATTTTGGCACATTGCCAAAATCCAGCTATAATGGTTAATTTATTATATTGGTGTGAGACTGTTACTCTCAATATAAAAACTGGGCTCATGGTATATAAAGTGAATGTGACCTAACATTATTACTGTTTCCTCCAAGCAGTATTGTAAGGCAGCATTTCCCAAAATAATGTTGCACCGAAACACAAGTCCTGCTCATCCTGCCAAGGTGGTTTGTGAGAATTCTTGGCCCCTAAAATGGGGGAAAGGTTACATTACTGTGTTCCTCTCTCGAAGAGTCACAGTGCTCATTGGCATATTAATCAAGAAAAAACAATCCAAGAAATCCTGCAGTAAAGACATATAACATCACCTAACTCATGACCCATTTGGACTATACCTATCAAACACCTATGAAGACACATTTTGCTAAGCCCTGATGGGAGGCACTCTGCTCGGCTTTGTTCTATAAGATGGGAAATATTTATTGGAGGCTTTTGGAATGAAAATTGTGACATTAAATTAATCAGATCTAGCTCCTTACCCATTTCATTTCCTTTTCTGTCCCAACCCCAGGGAAAACAGAATCTGCCCTCACTGAAGACTGACTGTGCTCTGAAATCCGCTGGCCTCATTCATTTTAGCAACGGTTCCTGAATTCTAAGAGTTAAGACCCAAAGAAAAAGAAGGCCTCTTTAGTGACTCTGTGACGAGAAATCCCCCTCCTGCTTACATCATTCACGTCCCTGTCTTGCGAGTGGTACTTTGTGTTTTCTTGCCAAGATGGCATTCACCTTTGGACACTGTCTTTGCCAGATGAACTCATTTGCTAATTCCGAAAATACCTGCAGATGACCTCGCTGGCCAGCGGTTTAACTGATAGATTTGGTAATACTGTCTATCAAAACAAGAGTCTGGAAACATGGGCGAGGGAATGAATCTTACTTGCACTTTATGTACACTTCCTGATTTGAAAGGAGGGGGTTTGCAAAGACAAAAAAAAAAGTCAGAGAGAGGCATCGTGGAAGCCTTAACAGCAAGAAACAGAAATTTGTGTCATTTGAACAATTTCCAGATGTTCTTAATCCAGGGCTTGTTGGGGTTTCTGGAGAATTATCACAAACTTAATGACATGATTACTTCTAGAAAGGGCTGCTGTCATAATCATCAATTTATAAGTGTCCTGTGAGTAGACACTCCTTTTTCCTGGTCCTGCAACTTGGACCTTCTGCCTCTGCCCCATTTTGCTGAAAATGTGACCTTTTGATCAAAGATGGCAACACCATTTATTTTCTATTGTCACTTCTTACTTGGAGAACCTAATTCCTCCGAGGCAAAAACTAAACACTAATTTTTTCAGTTGCTTTGTTGAAATGGAATTTGAATTTAAATCAAAGGGGAAAAAAAAATCTACCTGGTAGTTTAGAGTCAGCAACCTCTGATAATGGTGTCGAAAGACCTGGGTCTTCCGATATACGTACAACAAATATGTGCATCTTGAACAATCTGAGAGTGGAGGAGGAGTTGGAAATGTGGGCATTCTCATTTTTCAGTTTTCCTTTTTAATGAGCTCACCCTCCTTCTTTAGTAAATAATACTGGTATTTAGAAAATAACAAAAAAAAAATAGGGTGCTGTATTTTAAAAAGGAAATAGAAATAAAACAAATCTTGAAAAGCTGTTTGAGTTCTTTCCCATTTTCTCCCTTTAGTTGTGTTTTTCAACAGACTTGACTGTCTGGGTCCCGTGTGGCCAGAATCATGGACTTTGCTATAACTATGGAGGGTCCTACCACTGCAGTAAGCACAGAACACACTGCCTCAGGCACTCTAATCGAGTTCTTATTTTATAAACGTTCCTCTTCCTGGTTTTCAGTTCCATTGTCATATTTTTAAAAATCCCTTTAATTCCTTGCTTGAAAATCCCATGGCCATTAGAGAGCCATTAGGATATTTTGTCACTTACAGATATATAGACTTTCCAAGAAAGAAGCACACTTTTTCCTTCCTGGTTTTAGAAAATTTTGAAATAAGATGTCTTCCTTCTCATGACTGTTCTCTTTTTTCCCCCATAGTACTTATCACCTTCTAACTTACTATGTAATTATTTATTATGTTTATTGTCTTGTACCCTTTCTCTAGAGTGTAAGCACAAAGAAGACAGGGATTTTTGTATGTTTTTAATCAACGGAATGTATTCCCACCACCTAAAATAGTGCCTGGCACACAGTAAGGGCTCAGTAAATACTTATTGAATAAACTCACTCTCCTACCTTAGCATTTCAGTGGTTTGATTAATTTCCTCCATCTTAGGCTGGAAGGGCTCACTAGAATTTTTGCACACACATATTTCATTGTTGACTTATAAATTTAGGCTAATAGTTTTAGAAAGCTTTGATCATTGTGTCATTTCATATTTGTTTACCTGTTTGAATAGGTCATTGACCACTGTAAGCCTGAAAACTGAACAAAGAAGAATTCTGCCCTTTGGTATACTGGGACTGCAGGAATAACTCATATGAACAGCTTCAAATAGGATAGAGTACGATTCCTCCATTGGAACAATTTTGAAAAACTACATTAAGAGAAAAAAGAAAGAAGGTTGTTTATTAGGAATTGTATATTCTATAAAATTGTAACTAAGTTTTTTTCCACGATTACTGATGACATGAGAATGACTGACAATATTCTGAAGGAATATCATGTTGTTCCAAGAGCATGTCTTCTATCTTTCATTTCAGTCAATATTTTGACTTGCCAAAAACTCGGACCTCATAGGCCTTGCTTATGTATTCCAGACAAAGGTCTTATAAAAGGTCTATATCAAATCAACTTTTAATGCATGGATTTTTTTCATGGCTGAATTTAAGTCCTGGAAAATTACCCTGGAAAATACAACTCTAATAGTGTCTGCTATTTTGCTTCTCTCTTTGACAGTCCACTTAGGGGAGGACTTAGCCTGGCTGAAGCAATATTATTTGGCAAATAATCTGATCAATTTCCTTTATATTCCTGGCAATGAAATATTAAGAGCCTAACTCAGTGTTACGTCACCTTTATAGTACAGAGTCCTTGGCAGGAGATTAAATTTTGAACCAAAGATCCAATTTCATGGAAATAAAAAGTCTTACCTAAGTGCATTAAATAGATCTTTGGTAGAGTAGTTAATACCAATTAAATGCTAGGCTGTCTGAATCACGAATTATCCATTCAGATAGGATTTTGTTTTTCCTTCTTTAAATAACTCAGGTTTTTTAGAGGCTGGGTCATCCTAATTCCTTTTGGCCGTTCGGTCTTGAAATTTCCTGTGTTTTAGAAAGCAATGATGGGAAGTGCCATGCTGGGTCAGCAGTTTGTATAAAATAGGAGTTTGGACATGTCAGGTACTTTCATATTTGATAACCACGAGGACAAGCACAAGGGATGTTCTTGGTCAAGTTATTTCAAATGAAAGGAATACAAAATTACTTAGCTTCAGTCTTGAATCTTGAACGGCATGACAAGAATACTGATTAGCGAGGGGGCTAGTGACTATTGTCAAAACAGAGTAGAAATAATTCTTTTCAGAATGAAGCTGGCTGTCGTTGAACTTCATTGGATAATATATGCTGGTTTATATTAAAGACCCAATCTACTTTCAGACCCAATGTACTATCCAAATGTGATTTTTTAATATGCTGTGTCTCATCACACTGATAGGTTATGCCCTTTGAGAGGCTGGATTTACCATGGCCCATCTCCTTGATGTTTGCAAGACCAAGTTCACCAGTTAAAGAGTCATGATATAAAACAATTGATGAGTCTTAAGTACTCCGAGAGTATCTATATGCCATGTCTGTGCTATGTACTCTCACATGTTTATTCTTTGCAGCCACTGAGATAACTCTTCCTCTTTACAGATGAGAACTGTACTCAGAGTGGTTCGTTGGCTTGTCAAAAGTTACATGGTGATGGGGCAACACACCAGCGTTTGAATCAAGACTTCCAGCTTCTTAGTATTTGTTCTTTGGTGTCTCTTTCCTGCAGAGGAGATGCCAAACAAGAATGGGAATGAATGGAGTTGGGAGAAGGGGAGCTTTAACTGCTTGCTACGTGGTATTTTTATACAATGTTTTGGTTATCAACAAGGTTCTCATGCCCAGCATCCTAAAGGAATGTCAATTTTTCAATATAAACCACATGAGCAGAAAACACCGACTTCATAGGTGAATTCTCCCTCGACTTTGCAGTGGTATCTTTCCTGCCTGCCTCACAGGATCATGGAGGAACTTTGGGTATATCCAATGTTGGCCCCTGAGGCTAATGCTGGGCTTGAGCTGTGCGGGGTGTGCTATCACCCCTATGGCAGAGTTAAGCAGCGTGGGCCATCTGGAAGTGAAAATGGATTTGGGTTTCCGGGGTGCAATTTGGAGGCCTCCCAGCAGGCCATACTGCATTGGAACATTTAGACAGTGTGCAAGCTGCCACCCTCATGTCCCTCTGTCGATGCAGCGTGAGGGGAGGAAAGGAAACATTTCTTTTTCTTTTTGATACACCTTACTTTCCAGTTTGGGCTTGAGGTAGAGCTGAGATGTTAGTAGAGTTTTGTTACTTACACATGAAAACATCTGATAAATGGAAACTAAGGGAAGAGACCGAGCAAGGCCCTGTCATCTCAGAATACTTATATCACCTCTGAGTGACACTGAGTGGAGATTTATAAACATTTGTAATTCTCAAAAGCACTTGGGTGATCTCTGATGTTTTTAAGATGGCTTGTAGAAGGATGCCATTTTAATTACTTTAAAACACACAGAGCTGTTGCTTTCTTAAATGCTATGAAAGACTATGAGTGGTGACAAAAATACCAGGTTTCTTTCTTGAATCCTGTTTTTTTTGATCTTTGATAAACTTAGCACTTAGAAAAGTCAGCTTTTTTTTCTTTTGGAAATAGTTGGTGCTCATGCTCCCCCGAGTGTTGAGATTTTTTAGAAAAATAAACATTTTGTGATTCATTTTTTAAAGTTAGAGAAACATCTCACAGAACGGCTGTTTTATTGTCACAATTTTGCATACAGATTTAAGAGCAGTTGTGGAGAGAAATTCATTATTTTAGGAGCAGATAAACACTGGGTCATTAAAAATTAATTTAACAAGTAGTCTTTGTTTTGTGCCTATTTAGGGGAAAACAGCATATCCTTTATGATGGATACACAGCGGATATAGACATAGAAGGTGATTTGGGACTGAGGAATGAAAGGGGCATTTCATTTATCAGTGAGAAATGGGAGTTAAAAGAAGAAGGTATGGGGCCGGCCGAGTGGCGCGTTGGTTAAGAGCTGGCTTGGGACGCCAGAGGGCCCCGGTTCAGATCCCACATATGAGGGCCAGTGACACTGCCCTCTAC